AAAAAAAGTCCGCGAAGCACCAGCTATTCAGTGCGGTTTTGTCTATGGAGGCAAAGGAACCAACTGACAGTGACCTCTTATTTTCTGGTACGCAACCACAAACTGTCAAAGTTTCTTTACGATCGGCTTCCAGTCAATCGACGCCTAACCGAAAACGAGTTGGGCACATGCCAGGGCCTGCTGAGATATGGAACACCGTCATCTGTGGTGCCGCAGTTTGTGGCGGATGAATTCGGAAAGATTCTTACAATTAAGGATATACACAACTACCGCCGGAAGTGTCGACCGGCTATGTTGCGTAGGTGCCGAATGGTTGGGTTTTAATATATCACATGATATGCCTTCGGTTCTGGCAAAACTTTGAGAGACCGGACGCGTGTCAGGGAGAGGGAGGTCACCGTACCCACATATGTTTCTCCCGATGGCAGCAGATAGCGTTATTCCGACTTTTTCCCTACGTAGTGAATGTGGACGGGACACATGCAGCAAACCGCCTTGGTTAAGTTATTTTAAAGCATCTAATATTCGGTATTTAGATATAAACTATACACATTCTTGATAACGGACGGCATGGCAACCGGGCGTCCGGTTATGTATGCGTTCGTAGAGAGCGAGCAGTTTGCTCCCACGCGTAAACTGTTCGGCTTGTTCAATGAAATGATGGACGAAGCGTATCCGGTCAGGACCTTCGTAATGGACAAGTTGGCGGCGCAACTGCGTGCGGCAAGAGTCGTGTTCGGCTGTGACATTATACTTTGCTACTTTCATGTCCGCAAAGCCATCAGGAAGCACGTATGTATCATTTAATATCCATGTATTTTTGGTCATAGACATATTCTGCGAACAGCCGGCACATATTTCACCGCATGGCTCGCCTGGACAATGCTGTACAGTAGGTTTTATGTTCATCATATTACAAGCACACAGATTCCGACAAGATCTACAGCTTTTGCGCCGAACCGACCTCCGATTTCTCTCCTATCTTACGGCTCGCTGGTTGTATATCACCCGTCGTCTCCGAAAAGTTTCTGTTAATGAGGTCCTATGCAATTCATTTAAGTCTCGTATTTCTTGAGGGGTGCAGTAAACAGGCATGCAAAATAACCGCTGACGATGGCATTACGTGAACGTGCATCTACGACAGCATGGTCGCTGCAGTGAATTTTGAGGTAAATATCTCTACCTGTTTGTCGGCCGCCTGCCTTATGGTGATATTTCGATAACCTGAATTATATCTTCCTCTCATTTCAGGACTTCAACGGCCAAATGAACGCTCCTCACGAAGAAGAAAATGCGCCTCACAGAAGGACATGTAAACTTCAGAACAACCAATATATCTCAAAACTTGAAGACGTCCATTTTGAGCCTTTTCTCCGTTACCGATGGAGGGATTAGTTAGGCACCGATAAGCTGATCAGTATCGTTACCATATTCTTGGAAATAATTTCGTAAAACGCCTAAATACGAACAAATTAGTACTTTCCGTGCATACGAAACAGTTATCGATCCCTCCCGTGCTATAAATAGGCAAGTTTTTGTGGAGTGGCCAATCTAGGCAAGGGGTTGTTGCCAAATCTCAGAGGCCAGACTCCTCAGTAATGTGCAACTATTCAAGCGACTATTCTTCCCCCCGTTAACCAAGAACTGCAAAACACACCGTACTATACCGCATGCGATCCACTTCGCCGACATTTTCAGGCCAAAAACATATTCTTCCTCCCGTAAACCAACAACCAACAACCGTACTATACCGCATGCGATACACTTCGCCGACATTTTCAGGCCAAAAACACCATTAACAATAATAAGCGTATTTTCCAACGTGTAGGTAACACATTGATTGATATGTCGTAAAGATGTTACAATTCGAACCAGGCGGCTAATAGCACAAAAGTGGAAACAAAAAAGGAGCTAGGGTTGTTGAATGCTAATGAATCGTAAATTGTGGAGAACAAATAGCAGGACTTAAGGTGGGATCTTGAGCACCACTGTCCTCCATCAGCTGGAAGGGATGCTGGCAAAATATATGGGACAGCAACTGAGCGGCTTTCAGCGTCCTTTAGCCTTGTACATGGGGTGGATATTTGCGGATTTCTAACAGGAAAGAAGGATAAGGTATGTGGAATCGAATAGAATAGGTTTGGTACATAAGTACAGGGATATTGGCGGACACCCCAGAAATGTTGGACATAGTCTCGCCGGGTCTCCTGAGGTCCACCCGGTCAAAGTCGGCAGACTTATTAAATGTCGAGCTTTGTCGAGTGTGGTGGGGTAGCTTGGTTGGGTTCAAACCCGGTAAAATTTAGGCTGGTAAGATAAAGTTTAAGAAGGTCAGGATGCATTTCTGTTGGCATGTGGTTTTCTCCTCCCAAAGCTGATGAGGGTTGGTCTGAACTTGTACGGGTTGACTACTGTTTAGGCCATGTCCGTCCTTGGACTCAGAAAATAAGCCCGAGTAAAATTTGGACCCGATAAAATTTTGGCCTTATCCTGCTTTCGGACAAATGTGTGGGGAGCCAAACTATTTCATCCGTTAGGTTGCCTATGAGCTTAGGCGGTTGTAGATTTCTGATGGGCTTGTAGTTTCGAGAAGTACCTGCCCTCACCTTGTCAGTGGACAGCTAACGAGATACAGCTGATGTCACTAAAAAACTCCTCATTTCTAACTGTCTACCTTTTTGATGTTATAGCAGTCGGGTTTATGAGGGGTTTTCGCAGTTGGCGAAGACTCAGAAAGGATTAGCAGGCTCACCATACCTGGTGGCGAAATAGTGGCATCATCTTGCACGTGACCCTCACCAGGAAGATAAGCTCCAGAAAGCCTGGTTGATAGTCATTGCAGGACCAGGTTGAGCTGGTTTGGTGCTGATACCACTAATATGGGCTGACCATCTTTGTGGAAGGAAGCGGCAAAGCCCGGTCCAGCAGAGTCCAGGGTGCCTCGGCAAGGAAATTGCCTTGCATTCGTTCAGAAAAATTGGCTTGGGATGCACATCTTTTTCGTTGGTAAATGAGGAGACGATTACGGAGTGCTGTAATTAGTGAACCGCTTACCCAAAACCTCAGCTTAAGTGATAGTACATCATTACATCCAGGTGAAGAGGGATAGCTTTGCAATTACGGAAGGGACGAGCCCGGGCACACACGAGCCTAGGAAGATGTGGCGTTTAAAGAAACGCGTATCGTTGCCCTGAAGGTTAGTTTCTGCACCCAATTCATCTATATTAAACCAAGATTAAGCAATCAATTTGAAATGAAGGAACGCAATTGCCAAAACCGTCTCTAAAAAGGGGACGCATTTTGTCTGCTTGTGCCGATCGTATGGGCACACTGTAGCACTCTCCAATATTTTAGACTGGTCCAATTTTGGAGACACGAAGTGTATCTTGGGTTTTCAGGAGAATATTCCGGCGGGTTGAGGGTAGACGGCCGCTTAATTAGGGTAAGTTTGAAGCGAGAGGAGAGAAGAGATAGGAGTGATGGTTTCAGCTCCGGGTTGATCGAGGGTGGTAAATGGTGGATGAAGGATAGGAGATGAGAAATTGATCATACGGGGAGGACAAAAGTGGGCGTCAGGTGATGGTGATGGTGGGAAACACACAGAAAAACATCGACGAGCCCATTATGACGGTAGAATGACGAATGTGCTACCAGTGATATGAACGGCAGTTCGTAGGAAGTTTACATCGAGGGCGTGTACGGAATCCCGCGTGATTGTGACGGGGATTTCTTGTGTTTCGAGAGGTTTATGGACCAGGAACTTCAAGTTTTAATTCGTTTTGGCGGGAGTCGGATGCGTTTGTCTTGCGACGCATGATGTTTTCTCCCGCCCCGTTTGGTCATTTAATTGGGCCATAATGTCTGGGAGTTTACCAATAAATGTGGAGAGATGACAGGCTGCTTGCGCCGCTAGAGCTGCGCTACGTAAAAATTCCCACGAAGTGTTTTGTTTTAGGTGTATGACTGGCGTACAAAGAAGGCGGATACATATTTTTAGATTTGAGTTAATCAGGGACGTGTAGGGCGACAGGGGTCTACGGATTACACTGATTTGTGCAGAGCTGCGCTTAACCTTAGCCCCTAGAGCATGGTAAGCTCATGATTATGGAGAT